ATAGGTTTATGGTAAGGATTAGACCTTATATTTTATTTTCCGGGGAATTAAAAGATTTGTTAGAGAATGATTATCTTCGTTAAAAAAAAAAAAAACAGGCTTCTAGCTTATTGTGGTGATTGTTTCAAAATATATACAAATATCAAATCATTATGTTGTACCCCTGAAACTAAGGTAATGAATCAATTATATCTTCATTAAAAAAGTGAAAAAATTAAATTATGAATGAAAGAATAATATATCCAACTGTCATTATGAATAAAGCTCAGTTTTTTGGTTACATTCTTTTGAAAAACTTAGGCTTCAATTTTTCTTCTCAAAAAATGTGAATGTCAATTAAAGCACACATTAGAAGACAGTGGATTATTGCATGTTTGTTTTAGAAAGTAAAAGTGTTTAGGACATAAATATGTCTTTTGAGGACCGCTTTCATAATTCTAGCTTTTGTAGCAACGTTACTGTGAATAGGCTGTGGTAAGTTTATGCGTTGGCACTTGGATAACCTTCCTACTACTAACCAATCAGAATGTAGATGTTTCAGCTTTTAGGTACCAAGAAAGAATGGTATTTGTAGGACAAGAATTTTCCAGGGGAAGAGTATTCTTCCATGAAAACTCTCATGGCCTTTCTTACAATGACTGTATCATTGTCCCCAAAAAAAAGAAAGAGAGAGAAAGGAGAGAAAAGAGAGAAAGGAAGGAAGGAAGGGAGGGAGGAGGAAGGAAAGAAAGAAGGAAAGAAAGAAAGAAAAGAAATGGGTGCACTCCGTGCCAGATCCAGAATTTCCACTCCCGGTGTCAATGACCAGGCATTCCAAGCAGGCTACAACAGATGTGGAAGTCCATTCCTGCTCCATTATCTTCACCCCTCCTGCTGAGTGTGGGCTGTCCTCTCTCCATGTATGTCACAGAAATGAATCCCAGCAGTGATGAACTTGGAAACAATTAGGTGTGGCAGGCTTGGTTTCTTCAAGGCCCCTCTCCTTGGCCGGCAGATGACCGCCTTCTTACTGTGCCCTCATGTGACCTTTCCTCTGAGCCCAACCCCTGTTGTCTCTCCCTTCTTATAAGGACTCTAGTCCTACTGGATTAGGGCCTACCCTAACTGCTTCAGTTTAGCTTGACCACCCTTTTAAAGGCCCAATCTCCAGTATAGTCATATTCTGAGGTATTGGGGTTAGGGCTTCAACATATGAACTTTGGGGGGGCGGGCATACCAGTCCATAACAGTGCATAAAATGTGGAAAAATATTAGTATCGTGAGTGACGGGGCCCTCTAGAGTTAAATTTAAATTAAAACCTTTGCAGATTTCCTTATGTGTTTCCATTGTGTTCTCATACATCTGGAAATACAAAGACTTCATATTTCCTGTGCTGTGTTTCTCTTTTGGCAGGCCTGGCAGCTTCGATTCAGTCACCTTGTGGGCTATGGTGCCAAGTATTACTCTTACCTGATGTCCAGGGCAGTAGCTTCCATGGTTTGGAAGGAGTGTTTTCAACAAGACCCTTTTAACAGGTAATGAGGGGGATGAATTCTCCTCCAATGCCAGTAACCCCCCACCCCACTACATCTGCAGCCAGGCTGAGAACCTCAGCCACTTGCCACCTAGCCTACACCACACCTTCCGCCTGGGCCTCCCTCCTGCTTCCTGAGGCAGAGCCTGGCCCCGAACCTCTGCCTTGCTCTGTGGTGATGGTGTGGCGCCCTCCCGTCGTGCCTGTAGGGACCCTTTGTGTGGAAGCTCTTTGCTTCTCCAGAGTGGGCCTAGACTGCTCTGCTTCCATGCCTCCCCGGTGGGTTTTCTTAGTTGTTCCAGCCTCTCTCGTTGTCTGTACCCTGCTGCTCGGTGCTTCCTGTTCCCTTGGACAGGCTTCCTTATTTGCAGCACAAGCTTCCAAGGAGTCACTCATGGGGAACAACACCTGATTTCCTTTTTATTGCCCAACAAAGGAACTTGCTCCTGTTGTTCATTTGGGAGCAGCACTGTTGGAAACTTTGAGTATCTATGCTAGTGTCCACTTTGTTCTGGAAAGTTCCCCCTCTGCCTGACTTTGGGACACTTTCTTCCCCTGTAAGACAGTGGCGGTCTGAAGAATGAAGACCTAAAGCCAAAACTGACTATAATAATTTTAAAGATTTTATTTATTTATTCATAAGAGCTCCACAACCATTCCTCCACAGCTCCCCTTCATGGGGTCCACTGACCACCACTTAGTGTTGGCATTGCAGAGCCCTGCCCCACATCGCTCCCCACTGCTTGCCTCCTAGGTGCCCTCCTGAGTAGCCCTGCTCACCATTTCCATCATCAGGATGGGCAGTAGTTCAGAGAGCACAGTCCGCAGCTGTCACAAACATCATTGTGTGGTGACTCTTGGCCCTGTCCAGAGCATATTTCATCACGTTAGCTGGTGACCGTGTGAGCCTTTAATGATTCTGTGAAGGAATCTGGGTTGGTTGATTTCAGCTAGGGACACATGATGCCCACCCCCTTCCCCACAGTGGAGGCAGCCATGCGCAGTGGTGGGCTGGAGAAGGAGAGAAGGAGGGAGAGTGGGCTCTGGGATGGGCAGCCCTGCATCCCCAGGATCTCAGTAAGCTCCACCCCACAGGAGAAGCACAGGATTGCCCCGTTGCACCCTGAGTGGGCCTCCTGATTCTCACAGGCTTCCCTCCAACACCAGGAACCTTGGGGAAGTCGAGTTCTGGTCTCATGGAGTCCTTAGAAGGAGCTTCCTTTGAAAGCAAACCACTAATTATGATCTGGTCTAATACTCATTTTAAAGCATTTTATCTCCTCACCACGCAAACACATCTCCAGATACGTCTCAGGCAGCCATGGATATTTATGTAGTATCTTTACCACTTTTATGTGGTTTTTTTTTTTAAAGATTTTATTTATTTATTCATAAGAGACAGAGAGAGAGAGAGGCAGGCTCCCCGCTGAGCGGGGAGCCCGATGCGGGACTCGATCCCAGGACCCTGGGATCATGACCTGAGCCGAAGGCAGACGCTTAACCATCTGAGCCACCCAGGCACCCCACTTTTATGTGGTTTAAAGTTAATGACACCTTTGATTTTTAGAGTACCCTAAAGTTTCCATATGGCCCGTTATTTTACATTGATGGCAACCTTGGCAGAGCAGGTACTGCTTGTGAGGGGAAACTGAGCCTCAGAGGGGACAAGCGGTTTGCCCGAGGCTTCCCAGCGAAGACTAGAGTAAGATTAGAAGGCAGGTCTGCTAATTCCTAGCCCCTTCTCCCTCTCTGTCTCCTGCCCAGCCCCCAGTTTTTCATGCAGTTGGATGTAGGTTTGGATTTTCTTAGCATTTAATAATCACATTCAGTTCCAAAGCCTTTTGAACTTGAATCTGATGTAATAGAATTTTTAAATGTTTTACAGCTTGGTACCCACATGTTATTTTGTCTTCCGCCCTTTGCACACTGCAGACATTTGGTCTGCTTTTCAGATTTTATTATTTTCAAAGGACCTAAAGCCAAAACTGACTATAATAAATCAATTTAGGGGTTTATGGTTCTTTACTGGAGATTTCTATAAACTAGGCAAAATATTATCTTGCTTAAAGGAACTGCGCTTTACTAGAAAACCACATACTATTAAATACATATATTTCCAAGCATTTATATCTTGTTTATATGTGCATTCTTGCCTAGACATGTAGTTTGCCATACTTTTATAGACGTGTAAAAGTAAGCTAGTAAAATACTCACTGGACTAGAAAATTTCTAACCTATGTCAAAAGATCCTTTTTGATCCCACTTCTGAAAAATCACCAGACTGGAAGCCTCACCAGAAAGCCAGGCAGCGCAGACCTGAGGCACACCGAGAACCAGAGGCCTGAGAGCAGGAGTCTGCCCAAGGGGAGGGGAGCTGCAGACTGGGGCCGGCAGGAGATCCAGCCCCCAGGCCGGGGGTCGCGCGGGACCTCTCAGCCACCCCGTCCCCTCCTTGTGTGGGCCCAGCCTTCTGTCCGTGTTTCCTAATTCATGACACATTTGCCTTGGTACCCACGTAGTGTTTGATCTCAACATATTTTTGATACTGTAATACATCAAAAATTCTGATTAGAAACCAGGTTCGTAAAATTGCCTGTACATGAAGATGCTCCAGAAATAGTGGGATGAAAACAGCATCATTTATGTAACTTATGTCATCATGGTGTGTAGTCATCTGGCATAAAAGGAATTGCATTTTCCATAAAATACAAAAGTAGCACTAAATAGCTTGTGTCCAGGTGCCGTTAAGTTGGAGAATTTCTATCTGTAAAAGTTCTCCAGAGTCTGCCTGCAGGGGTTATTATAGACAGTGGTCCCTACAGAACCCAGCAGACAAAGTGCATCAGAAGATGCAGATGGGCTGTTCCTTCCTTTGCCTTCCCCATCAGGGCACTCAAGAGTCAGTTTCCCGTTCCGTCAGTTACCCTTAGCTGAGCTCTCCCTCTCCGGGTGTAGTTAAGCTTCTCCTGCCAGCTTTGTCCCCTTCACTTTTATTTCACAGTGTTATTTTTCTCTCTCTGTTTCATCTCAGCAGAAATAATTCCAAATCGCACTTGAAGATAATCCCAAAGGTGATGGACAGTGGGATACCTTTTACTTATATAATACCTAAACTAAATAATCCTTTCTTCGAAGAGAGATTGCTTGCTATGACACGGAAAGCTGAAAATACAGTTCTCCTTATACAATAAATATGTCACACCTGGTTTTACTTAATTAGAATAATTTAAAAATTGGAATTAGAGTTTTAGAAGCAAGAAAATAGACGGCTGAATTGTCCTGTGGTGGCGGCTTTTCTGAATATGATGTCAGCGTGGCTTCATTTTGAGAAACTAGGACAAGTGTGACCTGGTGCTATAACAGAGTGTCCTCTCTCCCCTGCAGGGTGGCAGGGGAGCGCTATCGCAGGGAGATGCTAGCTCACGGCGGGGGCAAGGAGCCCATGCTCATGGTGCAAGGTAAAACAAAACAAAGAGTGATAACTTGTCCATCATCCTTTTTTTAAAAAGATTTTATGGGTTATATACATTTTTTAATTATTGAAGTATAGTTGACATACAATGTTGTATTAGTTTCGGGTGTACAATAGAGTGATTGGACAGGTCTGTACATTATGCCATGCTCACCACCGTTAAGTGTAGCTACCATCTGTCACCAAACATTGTTATTACAATATTATTGACTATATTCCCGATGCTGTGCTTTTCATCTCCGTCACTTATTTATTTTATAACTGGCAGTTTGTACCTCAATCCCCTCCATCTATTTTGCCCTTCCCCTCACTGCCCTCCTGTTTTATGGGTTTTAGTTACTGCGATTTATTTAGATGCTGGCATAAAATTTCACGTTTTAACTTTTAAAATGTTACTGACACTCTAATAGGAAATTTGTAAATTTGTCATAAATTATCAGAAAATTTGCCTATAGGTTTTAACAGGTCACAGTGTATTTCTTTAGCCTAAAGAGCTCATTTCTTTCTTTCTCCAAAACTTTAGCTAGACCTTTGCTAGAAATTCCAAGGCATTGGGCTGGATTTTTTACCCATTGAAAAATTAGAACCTAATTAAATCTTCTCTTTCAGGTACCACAGTGCTTGTTTTCCTATGTAATATGGGGGGTTAATTTTTTCATTTAAGTATTTTCACTGAAAATTTAATTGTAAATGGAAGGGACTATCATGATTTTTCGTAAAATGCTCTCAGAAATCTTTTAAGGAAGATGTGGGTATTATTGGATATTCTCAATATATCAACAATTATATTTGTGGCTGACCCTCTAACTAGCTGATAAAAATTGCTTTTAGGAGGTACATCTCGTATTGGAGAAGTAGGATAGTAATGGGTCTGACATAAATGTTTCCTTGCCTACATCTGTTCAATCTAATACCTATTGCCCGTTTTCACAGAGCTCCTTGCCTTCAGCTGTTCGTTTACTCAGCATGTCCGTGTTGAGTGCTCATAGGTGCCAGGCACTGTTGTGACGCCGGGCTGTGCTGAGGGCAGGAGTGAAAGACACAAACGCCCCGTTCTTGTGGAACTTGCATTTCGTCAACTTGGCCATGAGGGGGCGCTCTTCCGGGCCCAATCTACCCAGTGCCGCAGTATGTTTAGAAAACAAATCAGCCGGCCCAGAGAGCCTACAGTTTCATGTGGCTTGGCCAAACCAAGATGACAGAAGTCCCCCACAACAACACTTGGGTCTCCCATTAGTACACTGTGCCTCCGAGTTGTCCTCCTGAGATGCAGAAGGCCTGGCGGTGGTGCCTCAGTTCCCACTCACACCTTAATGGTCCTTCCTGAACTCCGCTACATACAAGGAAGGGTTTTACATGGTTTACACGCTTGATTAATTTAATCTCCTAGCACCACCCTTAAGAGGTAGGAAGGATCACTATTCCCATTTTACAGATGCTGCAACAGGTCAGGTCCTTGACCCATGTTAGAGGCAGTGAGTAGATCAGTCAGGATTTGAACCTGTGACTTCTGGTCATAGAGATTATGCTCTTCAGCAGTCTGTGCTGTTTCATGTGTTTGCAGAACAGGACGCTGGGGTAAGGGTCTCTTATGGACCCACATAAAAGGAAAATTCCTCGGCTCATACTAATAAACCACCGAGAGCACACATTGTGTATTTCTCAGCTGGTAGTTTCTGGTCCCTCACAGAAAGCCCACTGCAAGTCAAGAAGGGATGCTGCAATTTGCTTCCTCCTGTAGGTTTTCTGTTATGTATACTCTCCCCATAGCCATGCTTAGCTTTTCCTCTTTGAGACCAGGATCTAAACACTGCACATAAATATTAGCTTACATATGGTTCCCTCAAAAGAAAAAAACAATCAAATCCTTTTCTATGTTTGTCCTTTGGCTGGTGTATTTTTCTACACACTTCCAAGAATGTTGTAACAAACCTCTCTAAAAATTGTGTTCTTTATATGAAACATCATTGTGTTAAGAAACTTAATATTATCCACACTGAAATTTGCACACTTGGGAGAGAAAAACAAGACTGTGGTTCGAACCAGGGATGATAAAATATTCAGATTCCAGTTAACACCAACAATAGAATGGTTCTGCTTTTAAACTGTTAATATTTTTCTTAATGTTGTTCTGTCAGATTTCATTAATTCACATGATTTGTTACATGTCAAAGATGAATGGGGGACATGCAGAGAAGTTCATGACTGTTGTCACTTTATAGGGCTGGATTTGTAAGACAAGACCAGCAGTGGCTTCTCATTTTCTTGTAGGCAGCCAGCCTGTACCCCCAAACAGGAATGTCCTTAGAGAATGGCTCTTAGCCAAACACTGGGTATCCCGAGGAGTAGTGACTGGTGAAATTACTAAGAGTTGTGATATAAAAGCTTAAACAATCTAGTAGGTGTTATTCTTGTATGAAAATGTAATTTTTTATAGGTGTTTGTATATGTTACTTAACTACTTACTAGGTAAATGGCAAGAGTTATAGAGTTATATTAAGTAGCAAAAGATAAAGAACACCTCCCTTCAAACTATGTGCCTCCCTGACCAAATGACAACTTTATTAACCTACTACTTTAAGACTTATGTTGCAAATGAATTCCAGGCCATTCCTTAGAGTCAGAATACCTCTGCCTTGTACTCATGCTCTTTGAATGATACCTATTCAAAGAAATCAAATATGCTGTGCTTTTAATCTTTGAGTAATAAAGATGACACAGTGACCTGTTTTTAGAATGAGTCGTCCTTAGCTCCGAGTCCCTGGATCTTTTCTGGCCCCACCAACAGATGAGCCAACTTGTGGTCAGAAGCTGGTCTGAAGGATGTGCCTGAGAATGGGGCATTCCTCTTTCTTTTCTCCCTCTGTTTGCTCCACAATCATCAGTTAAAGGCTCCTGCCACATAACCACGTCTGTGTGCCGACTCCGGCTCTGCACTGAGGGAGCCCCACGGGGCAATCCAAGTCACTGTATTTTCCTCTCAGCATTCTAAACACCATTTGAAAACAACACAGTGGTTGCATAGTAGTTCAGACAGTTCCCCTCCTGGGAGAAGAGAGGTCACATGGTACAGCCGACCAGGATCCACCCTTCCTAGCTCTGCTACTTCTTGAGAAAGTCACTCACCCCCTCCCTCTGGGAGAGAAGGTGTGATTTGACGTCACAACTTGACTTCCTTCTAATGTGCTTGTCCTCAGCGCCTGTCTCAATCCCCCTGCGTGGGGCACGTGTGTGTTGCTCAAGTGATAAAACAGATGCAGTAGAAGGAGCGTTACAGATTGAAGTCATGTCCTTATCTGCTTTTAAACACATTCATGGCACATGTAAAGAAATATGTTATAAGCACAATATTCTTTTACTTAACTCCCCCACTAAACAGTTTGGCAATACTTGACCGAAACTGGCTTTCTTCATGCCAAGAATTCTGGGGTGAGGTTGAACTCTTTGTATTCAGTTGCCCCCGTTGAGTTTTTCTGCTCTTTATTCCATATGCCACCCGTCAGGGTTTTTTGGTTTATATTAAGTATCACATTTCTGAGTCATAAAAGAACATAAAGTTTTTGCTATAAAGAAACAACGATGATATGGTATTTTCATTCATTTTGCTATTTTTAAAAGTCTATACTAGGATACTTTTTTAAGTGTGCTGTGGTGGACATGATGCAAAGTCCAGTTTCTATTACAATCATTTCAGAAAATGTATGGTTTTCAAGAAGACAAATATACAGTAAGGTTTGTGAGTAGCAGGGGAGTAATATTTTACACCTACTGGGAAGCAGAGTTGTTTCTTACTGCACCAAATACAAGAGTGGAATGATGTGACTACTGACGATAGAAGTTAGATGACTTCAGCCGTTTGTGAATGACGGATGAATTACTCCTGCGGATCTTCCTTTGTAAACCATTTTTTGTGTGTTTTGTGTCCTCTAAAATTTGGGTAAATGGCCCTTGTTGAGTTTTTAGGTTCAGCTTTATCTTTTAGATAATCAGAACAAAACTAACATTTTGAGAAGCTGCTCCATGCCAGGTGCCTTCTGCTATGCTACCTAATTAGTCCCCATGTGTAGGTCATATGGCCGCCATTTTCACACAATGAAACTTAGAGTTCATTCCCTTTCTGTGCCGCCTCTCCTCCTGACTCCCACGTCTTTCTCAGCTGATCTCTCAATTCTATCTTGAGATCAAGCTGGTCTTTAGAACATGGGAGATGTCAGTGACATGAGCCTGGAGGCCTTCATGATCCCCCAAAGCCTGCGGTTTGTTGTTTTTAATGTCACATCCTAACTATTCCCATTGATATCCGAGAGGCCTGCCTGACATCCACTGATCAGCAATAAAATTTTCCTTAATCTGTTTTTGTAGGAGCTCCTTTAGACTTTTGTGGTAAAGCTATCAACTTAGTTTATAATCATTTTTAGTCATGGTGGTTCCAAGAGAAAGATTCTCACCACAGCCAAATAAGCATGATGCCCAGTGAAGTTTCATGTTTCTGCCTCTGGTTATAGCATTCCTTGTACTCTACCCTTCAACCTTTGCACAAAGAATTTTATGGGGGAAAGGAAAGGTTAAAGTCCATGACTTTCACATTCCAGGAGGTTATTTCCAACACTAAACAACTTTACTTCTGTGCTTGTTTCCAGAAAAGAAACTCTCAGCTTCATTTTTACGTTTCTGGGGCCAAAAGCAGTATGCAAGTAGAAATACAAAGTAATAACTGGACAGAGTTTTTAAAAAGACCAAACCTCAGATAAGACTAAAAGAAATAGTAGATAAATGAGTTCATTCTCAGTGGAACTCCCTTCAGTTTGTTTTCCTGTGTTGCTGAACTGACTCATGAAACCAAAGTCTAGAAGCCCACAGGGCCTTACCTTAAGCTGATTAAAATCATAATACCTTACATTTCTGCAGAGCTTTATGGTTTTCAGAACACATTCATTTTTGCTATAATTATCCTATATCATCTATTCTAACTTATTACATATTATTTTTCTCCAAGAAATAAACCAGAGGATTGTGGTTTATATTCCAGGGATCATCCCTGTTGTACCTCAGGGAGCTTAATACAATCAATAGTGATAACTACTCTTTTCTTTAAAAACCTTCTTGGTCCTAGTAGCAGTGAGCGCACCCAGCACTCGGATCTTGGTTTCACACCATTCTCTGCTAAAAGGAACCAGGGCTCCTCTAAACAGTCACTGTGTATGCTTTTTGACAATTGGGAAAATCAATCAAGCTAGTGTTGAACAATGACTGTTTATGTAGCTTTCTTACTTTTAAACATCAGCTGTACCTCTGCCGACAGACAGGACTTCCTGCTCCTTGCCTGCTGTCACGTTCGTACTGTACAGATAACATCAAAAGTAAAGCCCCATGTTAAGCACATTTGGCCTATTAGGTTAGTAATCAGGTTATTAAAAAATAAGTAAATAAAAATATCAATGCTCATTACCTAAAGACACTGTGTCAATAAGACATCAATCTTTTTCAAGCAGACAGGATATTTTGAGTCCATTTAATACTTGTGTCATCCTGTCAATGAGAGCTGTCTCAAAGTGGGATGAATTTGCCTTGTGACAAAGTGGGTTTCCCATCATTCCAACTGTCTGGGAAGAAGGGCTTCAGGAAGCTAATCAGTACCAGGTCCCTTTGGTAACTCTGGAATCGAAACACTAGCTTGATTGATTTTCCTAATTGTCAAAAAGCATATGCAGTGACTTCAAGAGAAAAGGCAATTTCCATTGGTTTATGGCACTCAAAATTGGTTGTAGTTATTACTTGCAGTTTTAAAACATGCAGTTAACATTTAATCGTGTCATCTGGTTAATCCCTAAATATTGCCACGTACGGCACAAAGCTGTCAGGCCTAACATCATATGAGAATAATAAACGCACACAGGCTTTGGATGGTTATTCCTGAGTTTGCTTTTTAAATATGCCTCTTTGCTTTTTGTTTTTTTAACTAAGTGGGATTTTCAAGGGAGAGATGAAGGGAGGACAGGTTCTGCCTGACTTAGCCAACATCTGTGCCCTCTGGGCATGTATGCCCTGTGGCATATGAGTTCCCACCCCGGAGTGTATTTTACATTTGTGACTTGTGAGGCAGCCCCTCAGATATATTAAATATTAAAAGATAAGATGATTTAAAACTACTAGCATGCCAAGCAGAACTGTGCTGTTCGAGGTAAATCGGATGACTTTGGATGGGTTGCTCAAATGTTTAGAAATAGAGATCATCTTTATTTCCCTCTTGTTCTTGGGCCTGTCCTGTTGCCCTCTGCCTCCTTACTCTGCTTTGGTTTCTTTTTTTCCTAGCACATAGTTACTTCCTGACATAATGTAACCTGTATTATTTCACGTATTGGTTTGTGGTCTGTGCCCTCCAAGAAGCTGTCTGCCCCGTGACAGGAGGGGCACTGTTCTGAGCACGGCCATATCCCCAGCGCCTGCAATAGGCAGTCAGTAAACATAAAGATGAAAATATACTTACCAGGTGGAATATTTCTTGTGCCATAAAAAACTGGTGATTATTAGAAGAGGGCGGGTTTTTACTCACCTTGTCTGAGTTTTATATCACATAAATACTTCGAAGGGTTTTGTGGGCCCGAATATTTTTCCAAAGCTCTTTTCTAATGTAAAAGAAAAAAATATATATATATAGTGAACGTGCTTGTTCACTCTGACTTCGTGGCATCGAGTCTGCCCAGCTGTCGGGATATCCAGTTTGCCTTGGTCCTCCTGCCGCTCGTCCTAGCTTCCCCTCCCCGCCGTGCCCACACCGGGACCCCAGCTTTGCTGGCCTCAATCTGTTTCTGGTCCCAGAGTCTTCATCAGCAGGTAGAACGGAGCCAGGGCTCCTCAGTGAATGCTGTCCATTTCGCTACCCAACGTATTTTGTGTTCTTGGTGGAGCTTTTCCTCTAAACAGCACCTATATTTATTACATTGTATGTAACCAGTGTTCTACAAGGTAGAATAAAATAGATCATTCCTTGTGTTCTAGAATTCCTGTAATGCAAGACCAAGTCAGTGTGGTGAATGAATAGTTATTTAAGAAACAGGCGTTAAAGTGGAAAATGCTTTCTCTACTATGGGAGGTCAGAGATAAATACTGCAACTTGACTGATGGGCTTTGTTAGTAGTGGGCTTTGTTAGTAGCGGGCTTTGTTAAAGGAGGTGAGGCAACTCTTGGGGCTTCCTTCAAGTAGGACCAACTCTAACCTCTCCCTGGGGTCCAGTGGTCCCTGAGGCCTTGGCCTTCGACACCACCTCTCTCTGACGTCTCTTCCTCCTGCCAGCTGCCTTGTGTGCGTTGGCTTCCAGGACCATTTGCTTTTAGCCACACCACCTTTGCCTAAGACTGAAGGCGCTCTCCTGAATTCTGTCTTTGGTCAAAACGTAACACTTTAATACCCTTAGGTTAGTGACCGGTAGATAATGTGATAGAATAAAAAAGGCATTGTTAGTTGTTGATGACGTTAATTCATTTAAGCTTAGTGAATGTTTATTGAATACTGCTAACCAGGCACTTCAGGGACACAGAAATAAGCAGGTATAATGTAGAGATCCCACATCTATGTGAGAGGTTCCTGTCAGATTTACAAAAGGCAGCCCCCTCTGGGAGGTGGAATTGTGGAAAGGTGCCCACTCGGGGGCTTGCACCAGAACACAGGCTGGGGGCCTGCAGGGTTCCTGGGTTTCAGCCACTCCTGCTCCCAGCCAGCCACCTTTGTACTGGGCACAGACTGGACAAGCAGGTGAGGCAGTATGGAAGGGGGTGTGCTGACGGTACAGACCTAAGTAAACATGACAAGATGCTGAGCCTCGGGAAAGCTCTCTACATACCTGTTATGTTAATGGGCACAACATCTGGGACTCTGCAGCCTGATTTCCCCAGATGCTCTAACCAAAATATACCCAATCTAATCCCAGAGACAGGTAGCATTCGGTAACAATCAGAGGCACCCACCTCTTGGAAGAGCCACTCAGATGCTCTTTGCTTATAAAAATACAAGGTCAGTATTTCAATGATACAAATAAACAAAAGAGAAAAGATGTGGGTGTTATAAGTGGAATGCCTTTATGGAAAGAGCAATTTTTTTTTTTTTTAATTTCTAAATAAATAGCCTTTGGAGCACTGAGAATAAGTAATTTCTGTGATCAAACACACCAAATAGATAACTGCATACTACCGTACTAGAAACTGAGGAGCATTTTATATAATTTTTACAGTGTAGGGTAATAGAAACTACATGGCATATTGATTTCCTTTTTTTTTTTTTTTTAAAGATTTTATTTATTTTTCCACAGAGAGAGAGAGAGACAGTGAGAGAGGGAACACAAGCAGGGGGAGTGGGAGAGGGAGAAGCAGGCTTCCCGCGGAGCAGGCAGCCCGATGCAGGGCTCGATCCCAGGACCCTGGGATCATGACCTGAGCCGAAGGCAGTCGCTTAACCGACTGAGCCACCCAGGCGCCCTGGCGTATTGATTTCTTTACACCAGTAAAAGGAAGTCAGCCTTTACCAGGAAATGACAGATCTTTTTCTTCTGTAAAACTTAACCCGGAAGTATCTACTATCCTTGGATTTTTTTTTTTTTTTCCTATTTCATTGTCAATGTTCCACTGACTAAATTCAACAGCATAATTTTTGCTAGCAAAGAGGATGAAAAGCCTGTGGAGAAGTAACTTTTAAACAGAATTTTAACTTTTTTTTTTTTTTTCAGAATTTTCACTTTTAACCTGTCAATGTGTACTACATTATATATAAAATGTATACACACACACACACATATATGGCACTTTTCATTCCGGTACAATGCCTTGCTTGCGAGTGAGTATTGATTATCAAACAACTGTCTAGAAGGGGTGGGTAGAGAACCCCTTTAGACGAAAGGCCATGGCACTGTGTGTTCACTGGTGCTCAGAGCAGAGCACCTCTTACTAAACCCTGGGTATCACAAGTTCCTCCCCAAATGATTTCAGATAGTGTGCGTGCAGGAAGGAGATTTGCTATGCAGAAAAGGTCATGGGAAAATGACATAATGGAAGTCACAATGCAAGTTGGTTAGATGCGGACACATACAGTATCTGTAAGGCACGAACATTAATCTGCAGCGTGGCCCTAGAGAAACTGAGTAACTCTGTGTGCCAAGCTTTTAAATGGTCTCATCAGGATTTGACCTAGGCCATCATATTTTCAAAGCCCTTGGGATGCCCACTGCATCTGCCGGCTCACGGCGCTCCTCCCCTGCCCTCGTGGAGCTATAGACTCTCGATACGCTTTTTTGTTGCAGTTTACTTTTGGTGAGTGGTGCTCACTTTGGTCGTCTTCTCTGAATCCCGGGAAGCTGTCATTTTCTACTTGCCATGTAGATGTGATGGAGCCCTCTGCCATTTGTGTAGTCATCTGAGACAGCATCTCTGAAGTCTGGCTTTATTTGAGATATGAGAGCCTTTTTGTTCCCAAGTAAATAACTTGTAGTAGACTCATTCCAGGAAGGACACCAGCAATTCCACTTTTAGATTATATCAACTGTAACTACGTTCTAAAGGAATGCAGATAATATTCCTTCAGCTCTTTTTGATTGCTTAATGGAAATGTTATAAAATCTACTTTAAAGATGGTCATTATAGATGCTGTTCTTAACATGTGGTTACAAATGTGTGCTGTTGGCAGTGGCTAAAAACAGGTTAGAAAAGCAGATGTCATTTCTCCAAAGCTCTTGATCTAGATTCTTAGCTTGACACCCCAAGGCATCAAGCTTCAAGTGTGTAGCAAATTAGAAGCCCTGAGTTTCTTAGGCAGGACTGGGTTCCGAGGGACACTGGTGCATTTCCATCTAGCGAGCATACCAATAAAAGGCAAAATAATAATAGTAGTGGCAGAAATTTAGAGCAGATTTTAGTGGAACAGTTGAAACTGGCATTCGCTAACCAACTCTTGTTTGAAATGCTGCCAGAGAGCATAGAGACAGGAAAATGTCTCTTGGTTTAATTGGATCATTTCCTGAAAGATCGTTTTACAAGATATCTTCCAGTGTTTATTTGAGGCTTTTCAACTATCTCTAAGAGAAACTTTTTCCTTTTGATTATTATGTAACATTACTAATAACGAAACTAGATCAAGGAACGATCAAGCCAAAACCCAATTTTCTTTTACTTAATAGTTCATCTTGACATTAAAGTTTTTTTTTAAATAGAATAATCCCTTTTTTTTTTTTTAAGATTTTATTTTATTTATTTATTTGACAGAGAGAGACACAGCGAGAGAGGGAACACAAGCAGGGGGAGTGGGAGAGGGAGAAGCAGGCTCCCCGCAGAGCAGGGAGCCCGATGCGGGACTCGATCCCAGGACCCTGGGATCATGACCTGAGCCGAAGGCAGTCGCTTAACCAACTGAGCCACCCAGGCGCCCTAGAATAATCCCTTCTTAATCTCAGAGTGTTCACCTCTCAAATATTTGAATAACATTATCAAGTTCTTTTTCTACCTCATCACACAAGGTATGGAATATCAAGTAACACGTGTGTTGTTTTTTAATCTTTCTCCTTACAGAACTAAAGGTATGTTTAGTTTGATTAAGCCATAGGGTCAGGAGGATGGCTAAACTCCACTATGTTTTCCCTTCAATCGGTCTAAAGAAAACAGAGCTTTAAAAAATTCTCAAAATCCTAAATCACACGCTCAAAATAATTGGAATTCTGGCCCCTTGTTCCCCACTGTCTTCCGTTCCATGCACATGCTTTTTTCACTTCAGGATAGGAATTTTGTCAAAACACCACAGTGGCCTCACATACTGATTTTCCTGAGATAACTAGTTGGGTATTAAGCAGTTACGACTAATTTCTACTGCTTTGATATTTCTGGATTTGAGTGGCAGGGCAAGAGTAACAGCAACAGCAACAACAACAAGCACGAGAGCGGTACGAGTAACTACTTCTAGAAACATCCGTGCAGTGTGTTTGCTGTCCCAGATGCTGTGCTCAGCTCGGCGCCCTGCTCGGCAGGGTCCTGCGGCGCTTACTGCCCAGGGTCACACCAGAGCAACGGAACCATGACTCACATTCAGGGTGAGCTGGTTATCTCTTAAACTTACTTTTCAGCTTATACCAGGAAGCTTTGGCTTTAGAAAAGATTGTGCGCATCTTCTGCCGTATTTTCCCGCTTGTTCTTTTACAGTGTTTGGCACCTGAGTTGCTTGTCACAAATACACTGATGCTCAAGGAGGATACCGTTGGGTTCCCAGAGCAAGCTTTCCTGGGGACAGATGTTGGCGTATGCTAACTAGCATTGATAAGGTATCAACTGGCTTACATGTCGTAAAGTGGTTCTGTAGCAAAATCAGATTTGTTGAGTGAGAACGCGTGCATGCCCAGCAAGGTGGGGTACTTTACAACACACTCATTGGCAGCAACCTTCCTGTCTGGCATGGCGTAACAGGAACAAATGAGGAAAGCATGTCATGGAACCAGACTTAGAATTTAGTGGCTCCAGGATTATGACATAGTTTCAATAATAGAGGTAAATGGCAACGGGGAATAATAGCCAAGTGAATAGAATCCCTAATCTTTGGCTTGTTTGCATATTTACTCAACGTGGCCTCTGAATTAGCTGAGAGCTTTTTGGAAGAAAGAAATGGAAGAGACAGGAGCACCTGCGTTCTCAAGGCTCAGACCTCCCTTTTGTAAATGCACTGATTTTTGAAGAGGGTGTGTATGTGTTTAATGTGTGGGTGTGTTTGTTTAAGGAAGACATGGAGCTTCAAAAGGCAAACTGTTTTGTAACCCAGAAGTGTAATTGTAAATGGAGTTATTACATCTGACGATGAAGTTAACATAAACCAATTTGGAAACAGATCGCATATGTGGGGCTCCACTGGCTGGATCAGCTTCTTTCCCGCAGGAAGCTCAGATGCTCTGTGTCAATCCATTCGGCCACCCTGTAGACAGAAGCTTCTATTTGACCAGAGACTGATAGTAACACAGCCTAGGGGGCAGTCAGGTTTTTTCAGTTCAAAGGAAGAAAGGAATTTCACTTTCTGGCTGATACTGTGGTTTGCCCAGGAACTGATTGTAGATAGTGGGAATCCACCTTTAGAAAAAGGTGTGGGTAACCACAGCCTTGTAGCAGAGAAAAACTTCAAAGTGGAGAAGGTGAGCAATACAGTTGCCCTAGGCTTGGGAGAGACAGATCTGGAATGAGAGTTCTGATCTCGTAAAATTCACTTTAGACTTTTCAAACTGCCAGGCCAGCCTTTGTACTGTAATTCTTCATCAGGCTGAGCTGCATTTGGCACATATAATTATTTCAGTGCACAAAAAAATAGCCATTTACTCTTATGATGGTTTTTTTTTTTTTAAGATTTTATTTCTTTATTTGACAGAGAGAGAGACAGCGAGAGAGGGAACACAAACAGGGAGAGTGGGAGTGGGAGAGGGAGAAGCAGGCTTCCCACCGAGCAGGGAGCCAGACGTGGGGTTCGATCCCAGGACGCTGGGATCATGACCTGAGCCGAAGGCAGACGCTTAACCGACTGAGCCACCCAGGCGCCCCTTATGATGGGTTTTTAGAGCTGGTAGTGGTGTTGGGAATACACAGACATGCCTTTTCACTCATTCCTAGATCTGGAGAGAGGATCTGCCTGTCGGCATATCCCCCTTATTCTTACGTTTGCTAACGGAGGCTGGGGGTGGCGGAGCCGGCTTACCATCTGGGCAAAGCAAAGGCTCCATCTTAGTACTTTGGAACCTCTTCCTCCTTGTTTTTTAAACTGTGGTAAAGTATATATGAGGGCGCCTGCGTGGCTCAGATGGTTAACCGTCTGCCTTCGGCTCAGGTCATGATCCCACGGTCCTGGGGTCGAGTCCCGCATTGGGCTCCCTGCTCAGCGGGGAGCCTGCTTCTCCCTCTGCCTTTCTCTCTCTGTCTCTTATGAATAAATAAATAAAATCTTTAAAAAAAAAAGTATATATGATAAAAAATTTACCATTTTAACCATTCTTAAATATGTGTTTCAGTGGCCTTCACAATGTTGTATATTCACAATTCTGTGTAACCATCACCACTGTCCACTTCCAGAACTTTCCCATCATCCCAGTGATCTCTTCTTGATAAACCTTTTCTCACAGCTACTAACAAGGGAGAAAAATAGATCGATTTTAGTTGCATTTTTTGTTTCCTTCTTTTAGCAGATAAACAGTTATCTCCTAAAAAGCAGAGGGCAAAAAGTAGAAAAAAGTAAAGCAAACAGTGATTCATTAGCTGGGTAATTAGCTTGTGATTGTGAGTTTGATGATCATATCCTAAATACTTAATCGTAGACCAATGTTTGGGAATTGAGCTTGTGCACATAAATAAATAAGTAAATAAACAACCTCATCCTTTAACTCACTGAACTGGGAAGTAGGTTTTCCTTAAACCTTTGGATCTGATTGTTATTGCTATCAGCTATGGAGCATTTTCTGTCTTAAATGTGCTATCTTTTTAAATTCTTATAGCAATCTAGCAAAGTAGATGACACTTTGCCAATTTTATGATCTGCTGACATTATATTACACTCTAACATTTTACCTTCATTCAGATGGCTCTTAGCAGAAGTGAGGTATAGGAAGTGAAGTGACTGGTGTAAGGCATCTTAAGCAGTTGGTTATCTTAGGTAATTGCTCACCAAACCCTTGCTCTAACCATCAGGATACAGTACCTTGTTTAGAGGCATTTCAAGTTTTGCTTAGAAAAGGAAGAATTTATCTTACCTCTCTATTCCTCCTTGGCAACCCTTCAAAGGAAAACTTTTGTGTAGTCAGAAAAGGAGAACTACATTGAAATTTAAGTTATAAAATGCTATGCCGAACCAGGTAATGTTCCACTCAGCCTAAAATCCTAACCTGCACATTGCCCCCAAGGCTGTTTATCGAACCACATGGTAGTGACTCTGACCAGCAGGCTCTGGTCCCAGTAGGGAGTTCCCAGGACATTTCTTTTTGGGAGCCTATAGCTTTTCTTGGTCCACCAGCCTGACCCTTAAATAAATGACACCTGTAGGTCCTAACTATAAACTTGACTGATATAATTTAAACCAAGTACCAGTGTCTGGCAATGTAAGATTATGATTGGCTTTTAGCTTTGGTTTTTAACAGAACTGCTATTTGTCCCTGGCCATCTTGGGCTCTGAACACCGTGCCAGTCCCATAGATATCAGGTCTACATCCACCTGGCACCCAAATATGCAACACCTAGGCCTCGGCTTTCCTCGACAGCTTTGGACACACATCCAATCCACGAACTTTCGTTGCACCTTTGAAACCCACAAATGTAAGGGCGATTTTTTCCCCCTTGATTCAGCAAGGAAAGAACCAGCTTCAGGAGGACCCAAACACTACTGAGATGATCCCACCCTGCTTCTTAGCAGACCTCCCATCACACTCCTACCACACCTGGCCAAGATGGTGAGGCAGAGGAATACTTGTGTTTCTTCTTTGGCCTGGAAGACCCTCCTTTCTTCCCCAGTGAACTTGGAGAGAGGAAATCTGACGTAAAGCTTGCTGTATATCACTTAGACTTTATGAATCTGAGGAAAGACAGTCATTTAAATGAAAAAAAAATTACCTGCTCAAGCTCTGGGTATAGCAAGTTGATCCTTAATCAAACAAAAATATCGGTGTCCCCAGGTGTCACTAAATCCCCTTTTAACAACTTGTGAACTGATCTTTTTATCAACTAGGAATCTTCTTGGAAAAAAATCGAACCAAGCCTGGCTTACCAAAGCAGAATGTTTTGGAACAATATGGAGATGGCCACAAAATCAAGAAGAAGTCCCAGCAGGGCCCAGAAAGAGCGGCTTCCCACACCTTCAGGGTGCTGGTGCCACGAGGGGCCCCTGACTCTGTCACTCCCTCCTTTGCACCAGTTCTGTACCTTATATGCACCTTTGTTCTGTATTAACATGATGTATCTCCATGGTTTTCTTTCATGGTATTATTTCATTAAGTAATGAACTGGTCAAGAACAGAAATAATGTCCTGCTCATATCTGTGTGCCTGGTGTCTTTAGCACACAGTGCTTGGCACACAGGTACCCAGAACATTTAATTTTTTATAAATGTTTGAACAGACTTTCCGTCTTTTTTTTTTTTTTTTTTTAAGATCTTATTTGAGAGAGAGAGCATGCGCGCATGAGCAGGGGGAGCTGCAGGCAGAGGGAGAAGCAGACTCCCTGCTGAGCAGGGAGCCCACGGAGGAGCTGGATCCCAGGACCCTGAGATCATGACCTGAGCCGAAGGCAGACGCTTAACGACTGAGCCACCCGGGCGCCCAGACTTTCTGTCTTAAATGGAGTAGGGCATGACTGTGGTTCTGTTCACTGCCATGGTGCATGGAGCTAAGTCTATAGGGAGTCGACCTCAGCAACATCCAGCACCTCCCCACTATGAATCACCCTACGATGACTCCATTTTCAGAATTCATGACATTCTTTTTTTTTTTTTTAAGATTTTATATATTTATTTGACAGAGACAGTGAGAGCAGGAACACAAGCAGGGGGAGTGGGAGAGGGAGAAGCAGGCCTCCCGCTGAGCAGGGAGCCCGATGCGGGGCTCGATCCCAGGACCCTGGGATCATGACCTGAGCCGAAGGCAGACGCTTAACGACTGAGCCACCCAGGCGCCCTCAATTCATGACATTCTTGCCGACCACCGGCTCCTGTAGTGACTTCCTGGTCTTTTTCCTGGAGAAGGAGCCCCAGCTGGGCCCTCTGGGCTCCTAGTGACAGAGGTCTGATTACAGTTCTCAAGCTCAGAACAGTCAGAATTGCTACATGGAAGAAGCCTCTGAGATGTGTTCCGAGCTGTCCTCACAAGAGAGGCAATAATCGAAAAACACAAAGCACTGTTTCCCAGGGAGTTGCTAGTAAGCAAAATACACTCTGCTTCCTTTTCTAAAATAAAAACGCTGCCGCCACCCCCTGAAGCACGCCTCCCATCTGGGAGACTGACCTCTCAAGCAAGGCCCGTCACGGTGTCATGCTCCTCCCACAGCTCCGTGCCTTGTGGCAGCTTCCCTTCTGGCCGCCTCCGCCGCCCCCAGACTTTCAGACTATTTTCATGCCAAATCCACTTGATCCTTTCAGGTGCTTTTCCAGCCAGCTGTGTCCTCTCTCTTGAGGCTTGGTAATCATAACTTTGAACAGCGTCCCAAACAAACCCTACTTTTGTTTCCTAAGATTGTTTGCCATTTCACTTGAGAAACAAATATTTTTTAGTTTAGTTAAATAGAAAACTAATACAATCTTTCTTGCCCCATACTTTTCAAGTTATGGTTGCCCGTGGAGAGAAACCCGATCTCATTTTCCACTTTAATCAGTTTCCACATGTCCATCTGGGCTGTGGTTCTCACACTTCATCAGGGTCACTGACTGCCGAGCCCACTCCCAGTTCCTGATTCGTTAGGCCTGGGGTTCCAGACCCAACTTTTGTATTTCTAGCAGGTTCCCAGGTGATACACATGATGTTCGTCAGAGAACTACACTCTTAGAACCAGTAGGTCATATATTTCTATAAAACAGATTCTTAGTCATGTTTATGTATAGTATATATACTCTATCTTCCTAATAAATAGTCATCTTTTTGCCTACCTTCAGTTGACTTTAGGCACTCTGGTCCACAGTGAGTGAGTGAGTGAGTGAGTGAGTGAGTGAGTGAATGAAAGAAAAAATCCTTACAGAGATTTTATTTCTAGTTACTTCAGTCACCCTTCTTTGCTTTCACTAAACTTTGGCCACACTCAGCCACAGTTTTATTGGATTGGGCACCCTTGCTTAGTGTTCAGCAATATAGGAAATGGACCCAAAGAAGAGATAGAACTATTCTACTTCTCTTCCAAGGCTCAAAATAATTCTAATGTTTTTAAGTGCCCCAATCATTTCCTGTATTCTCGAGGTGCTTAGTAAAAGGGGCCAGAACAAGAGTCCATCTCTGCCACATTGTCTTAGAGGTGTAATTAAACTGCCAACCAGGTGCCCTGTCATGTTCTCAAAGAATTGTATTAGTTGCACATCCGGACAGGCACTCAAGAGGTTAAAGAGTATCTGCCAAGAAGGTGTTGATATTTAAATGATGGCCTGGTTAGATTATGTATTACATATCACAAACTAACAGGGCGTGAACTTGCAGCTTTGTACACATATACAACTCATCCTGGAGCCGACAAAATCCGTTCTTGGTAAAAGCATAGAAATAGGCATAGTTGGGAGCCCCTTCAACATGTAAGGGCTTCTGTTTGCAAGGGGTTACCACAGATACTTGGAGGCCAC